TTACATATATTTTGAAAAGATAGTAAAAACATATTTACTATACTAATATATTTATTTAAAAAATTTATGTCCATTTGAGAGCTACAGCAAAAGTTTGAATACAACTCACACATAAAACCAATAAAATGTTCACCGATATAAAAAAAAAAGGTGGATGCGCCAGGTGCTTCAATTAAATTTATTTTTCTCGAGTGAATCGCATATCGTTCCAACAGCAGGAATCGATGGTGTCGCGTTTGGGGTCCTGCCGTATCCTATATTGAATATTTGCCCGGTTGAGTTCAAATTGTTTCGAATTGAATTTATACCGAAATAGGAGCAGCGTGAGACTGCCGAAATACAGAGTGAATAAAAAACAGCTCAGTCCGCCCATAGCACGGAGTTGGCACAAAGAGCAAAGTTATGCTTATTAAAATTATTAATTATAATAATTTCGAGCAGAGGACTTCATTTCCGCGTCTGACAGTAGTTGAGCCAAAAGGTTTGCCAAACGTGATGCAATTTATATTTACTTACAACGTAGGGTAATTACGATCTGGGCGGCCTCGGATTAATAATCACAAAAGAATACCGAAAAATTACATTTCTGTGTAATTAAACAGCGGACAAATTTGGCGGGCCAAAATTTAGATTATGATTAAAAATACAATTATAATTAAAACGCATTACTTAATATTTGACAGCATACATATCATAAATTAAGGTGACGATGGTTTTCAAACTCGAGACAAATTTTCAGTTACTTAATAAATTCTTTGTCCCCAGTGGTAGTACGAAATTTATAAATAAAATATATAAAACAAATAAGATTATTACTAGTGCAAAAGAGTATGAGTATATGTAGTGTATAAAATGTAATACTAATTATATATATTTTTTAACTGACGGTTACAATTATTGTAGTATAGTAGATTTTAAAGAAGCGGGTGCAATATTTATTTTATATTGAAAACTAAATATGGTTGTAGAAACTTTTATTAACTTACTGTATATTCCTTCATTTTACAAACTGTCTAAAATAAAACAGTTGCGTATTACATTTTCCCTCTTTTAAACATTGAAATTAAATAGAGATCGTGCGGCTGACTATGACTCGGACTACTTTCCACAAACTGGATTATTTTCTTTTGGCGAACAAGTGATTAGAATAAATAGGATTTCTTGCTCGACTGTTTCGCGTCCCGACGGTATACTCATAAGAGGTTCTAAGACTGGATCTAGGCCTGCCAGTCTTGCTTCCTTCTTTTTAGGGCTGACGGATCCCAATCGCTTCGGGACACAAATGGAACAGTCACGTGTTAATGAGACAAGAAAGGAAGACCACCGCTCTGCCGAATCGAACTAGCTGAAACTGCATTACGGACACAATTTAGCTTCTACAGAATGTATAAGCAGAACAGAGACCATGTGCTAGCGGAAACTCATGGTAGATAATAATCGATTTCTGGCTAACCTGTTTATATAAACGACAATGTTTTGTTATATAATGTAAATTTTAAATCACTCGCGAGAATATTGCGTGTGGGATATTGGCAAACGTCCAAATCATATCTCTACCGCCTTTCACGTGTTCGCCTCAGGCATGTATATATTTCATGGTGTCTGGGACTTGACTTTAGCCAGTCTGTGACTTAAATAATGACTAATATAAAACACAACGAACTGTTGGCTAAATACAATATTTGTATTTTAAATTGCCGATGGAAAACATACAGATTAAAATTTAATCATTTATATCTATATTAATCCAAAAATTATATTTATAATATTTATCATTATATGATCAGCAGATCGATTATTAGTATTAATAATAACAAAATTTAACAATTCTTTCTACTCTCATATTTATATACAAAATGTGGAAATAAAGAACGTAAAATTACACGGTCTTAAAGGAGGACCCTAATAATAAAAGGTGATTATAATAACAAGTAGTTTCTACAAATTAAATGATTTCCTACACGTATGTCGATAACATATACTGAGCAATACATTAATACAATTAATTAATGTGAACTGTAAAACATAACATATTATGATTACATAATATTATTATATTATAGTTTAGCAGTGCCGTAACAAAGATAAGGTTCCTATGGCAAATTTGTTACATGTGATCTAGCCCAAAAATGACAAAAAAATAAATTTTGAGCCCCTAATCTTGTTGCGTCTCTCTCGCCACACCCTAGTTATGACCATGATAGTTTGTGCGAGTCTCGAAGTATTTTATGCAGACTCAGTTACAAAAAGTTTTAAATAAGTTTATATATGTGCGTCGATATAAAATTTATATTTTAAATACAATCGGTCATTTTAGTATATTCAATATTTAAATGTTCTTCAGTTAAGTTAAAAGTAGATTACAGTTTGGTATTAAAGTACTGTGTAGATTTGTAAAGATACCGGTTATTAACCTCGTATCAATCCGCATGGAATAGAAAAATATGAAAAGTGAAAGAGGTAATCATATCAATTAAAGGCGTAACAACCGTAATAAGTGCATTAACATGGAAATGTGTACTTTCACATGTTTTTGCAAACAGAAAACAATAGATGCGCATATTTTAATTAAGGAATAATATTTACATTAAAAAAAAAACAGGCGGTCGCGATACAGGTGGAATGAAAAGTTCGGCTAAATATAGATCTCTACAATACGTCGACAAGTGCTTAAAGCATCTAGATAAAATACATAAAAATAGGGTATAACGAATCAATATTGTTGATAAGCCGTAGATATTTTAACAAGCTATGGAGCTTTGAAAAATATATATAGTTTGTAATTAAATCAGGAAAGATGGTACAAACTTGGCTTCTTGATTGTTGCTTTGGGTGAAGTTAGAGAGAAAAGGGGCTCGTGATTGAGTTAGCTGACCAACCACGTGGGATTAAATTAAGTGCATGGAAGGAGAACATGCGTTTCACCAGAAAATTAGTAAGAAATCTAATTTAGCGAATGGGCATTGCGTAAACAAGACATTTCCATCGCTGCATTCTGCTCTAGTTTTGCCAGCTTGATGCATCAACGATTGCTGCACTATTTAATTCGATTATGTAGAAAGTGCATTCAATATTTCTGTGCAGATTTTCTTTTTGCGCTTAATACAAGCACTGTAACTACAAACCGAATGATTTAGAACGTGACGATGCGGTTTATTTAACCCAGGTGTCATAAATATCTGACTGGAATTACTTATTTAAATCATCCCTCTTTAAACATTGATATTATTTTCTATTTACTCCGACACTTAATAAATAATTCGTCATAAAATGCATTAATGTACTTTACTACCAAAAATGAAACTGCACAAATAAAAATATTTTTATTTATGATTCGCATCTTATACGTCACATTTAGAATTCATAACATATGGCCCGGCGCATTCACCCATGATAAATATTTAATACTATTACTTCAGTGTTCCCAACCTTTTTATCGTCGCGGACCGGTCAACGTTTGATAATTTTACCGCGGCCCGCTGAGGGGAGGCAGTTGATACAGTTACACCAAAAAATGAATATAAAGTGATTTAACATTAAACTCACTGGATTCTAGTGAGTTAGAAGAAAATGGAAATACTTTAATGTTCCTTGGGCGGCTTGGCCCGGTACCATTTTATCCACGGACCACGGGCATATAATGAATTGCCAATAGATTTCCATGAATCGATTATAAAATGTATTTTTTATAAGTAAAATAAATAAGAATAGCATTTAATATGCATTTAAGTTCTAATTATATAATAATAAAAATCTTTATTAGTCACCAATTGTAACCAAAGGGAAAGTCCATTAATATCTCGTGAAAGTTAAAACTTGTTAGCACATTCTTTGTGAGAGAAATGTAGTAGTAAATTGCATGAAATAGTAACAGGAAAATATCGTTCTAGTAAAAAAAAAACTAAAGTGAAGTAATTTTGAAAACATAACAAATGCAGTTTACTTGATGTCATCATAAATTAGAAATTTCTGCCTCGAACGCAAAGTGAGATGGAACAAAGATATTTATAAATATTTACAACATGTTACCATACATTCCAGCACCTATCGAAATCCCTTTAGACAACTATTTCTAAAACTTAAGCACTCACGTCATAAGTAATGTGTGCTGTTGATGTACATTTCTTTAGGATGATTTTTGTGTCATAAAAAAATATGCATTAATGTTGCAACACTACAAGATGAACTCATAAACGACTTGTGATTCAAATAACTTAGGTTAATCGTGAAGAATGAGATTTATTTCCAATATAAATAAACATTATATTTGTAAATGCACCAAAACAATTAATTAACTGCGAATAGTTTCGAACGAACGAATTTTCGGACAGAGATGAAATGCAAACAAACAACAAATTCATGTAATGCTAGTAAATAAATTGCAGCTCTGGAAGAATAAATGCATTAGCCGACCCGTATTCGTATAATTATTCTATAGAACTGGTATCAACCAGCCACCACCTACATTCAGTTGTTGAAATCCCCATTTAAACTAAACTCAGTTGAACGCGAATAAAACCGCACATATCCATCGGCCATCTCCCTTCACCACTGTTTGAAACGTACGTTAGTGCATTTTATAACAATCAACAAAAGTATAAAATGGATGACGTACATTTTTTGCCATGGTTTTATTTCCGGAGCTTTTGGTTGAGTTAATTTCAGACAATCAAAATGGAACCGCTCGTCTCCGCTAGATCATATAGGTGGTATAACGTGAAACCACTTCAGACAATGCACATGGTGCGAGAATAGCGAGGGAACATGAAAGCTCGCCTTTTCGTGTATTAAAATTCAGATCGATGATATAACCGTTTCCATTTGCGCTCCTTTATTTTTCAAAACTAATCGCTGTTTCGTGTGCGATTGATTTATGTATTCTTCAAATAAAACACTTTGGAGAGCTCACAATTTCTTTTTCTATGTATGCAACAGATGGGGGGGATTCGAGGGCTCTTTGGGATTTGGGTTTTATATAAAATGGCAATAAATAAACTTACTGTACGGTTGAGGCCTCGACCCGTAATGGGGTTCCTGTAATAACGGCTGCGGACGTCCATTTGTGTTCTCTTTCACTGAAAGAACAAGAAGAAAATAAAGACATCAAGTTAATTAAGCGCATAAGGTTTAGGATTTATACTGTGTATCCAATCCGCCTTTCGTTTCGTATATTATTTATTTATGTTTTATAAAAAACAGTTTATATTTCCTTTATTTTTTTAATTCATCGTGAATGCTCGACCTTTTCTCTCCTTGCTTTTCTCTCTTTAAGAAACACCGTTTTGTAAACTGGATGGTAGCGTGCACGCAAAAAATATCGAGAAAAAGCATGCTGGATGAGATGAATAAAACAAGTCTGGCGGAACGGAATCCCCCTTTTTCCTTTTGGTCGCCTGCCTCCGAGAAGACAATAACTATGTTATAAAAATTCTTAGGAGCGTCCCGGGATAATTCCACACGGTATACCCAGAAAACGTAATAGCTATCAATACGAACAAAGAGGAGGAAATTATCTAGGAACACAATTCGGAGGACGCTAAAGGAAAATAACAGAAACAAATATCGACCACTCTTTATAGATATAAATGCGGGAAGCAAAATAGAGAAACCTTTCAACTTTAATGAACGCATTTTTTTAAATTTTGTGAGAATGTTACAGTAATTGTAGTGTTTCTTAAAAATACTATTTATAATCGAATACTTCAATTCAATTAAGTATAAAGTATAAATAAATCATTTTCTTCTTTTAAAAGAAATAATAATTACTATTTAAACATATTTATCATTTATGCAACAAAAAAAAACATGGTACATAATAAATAGTATTTACTAAATATATTTCAAACTTTTAGAAAGAAAAACCTTGGTTAATAACAATGTTTTTCATATTTTTAGTTGATCATATTGTTATCAGCTATTTAATCAATATCATAATAATTAAGTGCAAATTCTATTATATATTGTGTTGCTGATTTTTCTTTGTGTGGGCACTTACAGCGATAAATTGTATGGAATGTGGGTACAACAATATTCCTGGTTATCAAGCTGAATAGCTGGTGCACATATGGTTTGGTTTTTTTATTATTATTATTTACAAAGCAATCTATCTACAATAAAAAAAAATAAAAACAGATTACATGCTCTAGTTCTGGGCTTATTGTAAGAAAAAATTAAAAATATATATTGGAGATTGATCCAGCGACCAAACTCCACAGAGTGCTTATTAAAGAAAAATTGGCAAGTTGGTTTGGGTGGTCCTCCAGCCGATGTTGGTATTTGATACTAAGTTCCGTTATTTCATCCTTCACAAATCGGACTCCAGTGTATTTATGGATGAGCGTTTTTGACTGGAACCGTTGTATGATGTCAATACTTGTATTAGAAGCAGATCTCCATAGTTGCAATCCATAAGTCCATATAGGTTTTATTATCGTTTTATATATTAAAACTTTGTTTTCCACTGAGATGGATGAGTATCTACCCATCAACCAATGCAATCTTTTTACTGCTAGTCTCAGCTGTTTTCTTTTTGTCGTAATATGCTTTTTCCAGGTGAGTCGACGATCCAGATGCATGCCAAGATACTTAGCATCATCAGCCTGTGGTAGGGCACTGCCATTCAGTGTAACGGGTGGACAAGTTTGTCGACGCATTGTGTACGTTACATGCACCGACTTAGTTTCATTAGCCCTAATTCTCCACTTTCTGAACCAATGTTCTATGCTATTCAGACTTCTTTGGATTATTTGTGAGGCCGTAGTTCGGTTTTGGTGGGATGCTAGAACAACGGTGTCATCAGCAAATGTGGCTATAGTGGCGTGCTGAGGAGTTGGTAGATCAGCCGTGAAGATCAAATAAAGTAAGGATCCAGAAACACTTCCCTGCGGGACACCAGAGAGGATTGGGAGCAGCGAGGTCACTTCGTCCTTGTGCACCTGGCAGTGCCTCCCAGTCAAGTACGATTTGAATATGACATAATATTCATGTGGGAGACACTTTTTAATTTTATATAGCAATCCTCCATGCCATACTCGGTCAAACGCCTGTGAGATGTCGAGGAAAGCGGCAAAGCAGTACTTCTTCTCCTCAAGACTTTTCCAATCACATCCACTACACGATGCACCTGTTCCACAGTGCCATGTCGTTCACGAAATCCGAACTGGTGTTCTGGAATGAGATGACCATCCAACAGCCAGGCTTCAGTCTTCGCAGTAACAGCTTCTCGAACAGTTTAGACAGCACCGACAGGAGGCTGATGGGTCTATCTATGTTTTCTAGGTTTGGCGATGAGTATGATTTGGGCTACCTTCCACTGTGATGGAAATATACTGAGTCTCAGGATTGGTATGGTTTGGTAAATGCATTAATTTCAAAATTATAAATCGAATTTCATACAGCATTGTAACATAACAAAAAATTCATAAACCAATCAATATATAAACTACAATCCAAAATCATGCAAAAGTTTATATATATATATTAAATAGTGTAGTTAAAAAATACATAGTGCAGCGTTTTAAAAAGGCTATTAAAAAAAAATATATTTATTATAAATAAATGAATCAAGAAAAACTAGTTTAAAATAGACTCAAATCAAGTCATAGAACTTCTTATAACACCAATTAAAATTATATAAAAGTTTTGTGAAATTTCAACGAAAACAGATGGTTTTCCTGGACGAAAACTAATTTAAAAAATAGAGAGGAAGAGATTTATATGGAAAAACCGATGCAGAATATAATGCCGATAAATGGTAAAATATGATTCCCAGTGGGGCACGTACCATAACAAATAATGTTTATGTGGGGGGCAACAGCGTCCGTTCTAAATGAAATGCGACCTTTAACTGGTAAAACGTATTTGTCACAAGAAAAAAAAAGTAATAAGTTAGAAGCATCACTTGCATATTCAATATTTTTAGAAACTTATTCATACTAGAAGGCATAATTTCAGTTTTTTTTTTATTATAATTCAATTAATTTCAAATTGCTAGAATAACTATAATTGTTCAATAACATTTTTTTTTAATAATTTAGTTTTTTGTAGTAGTTTCCAGTAGATGTTTTATTTTCAAAAACCCCTCAATTTAATTAAGTTTATTGCAATGTACCAAATATAATAGCTTAGTGTGCATTTTCAGTCGGTTACTACTTGTGTTGGAACAAGTTGTACAAGAGCCGGTCGAAGTTGGTGTCAAAGCTAAGGCACAAATAATAATTTATTACTTTGGTGTCATGAACTCTATTTTAGCTACAGCGGAGTCTTGTAGTGTTTTAGTTTGAACATGCGAACATTAGACTTTTAGGTACATGCATCTAGTCTGGGAGGGCATATATTAGAAACACGAGAGTTCGGCGGGCACCATGGGATACTTTATGTGTGAGCGGGAGGGATGACTTCCAAAGTTTTGTTTTCTAGAAAATTGAATATTTGACCACCGATTGCCGCGAGTACTTTAAAATTGATTTGTGTGCACCCTAGTGCCAACTGGCTCAACGTTGCCGACCCCTGATATATGCTACCTATATCAATTCACCATGGGAGAATATGAACGGATGGGTAAAATGGATGAAATTTTAATTCAATAAAACATTCTAAACGCTGACAGAACGAGAACGCCAGAATTTGTTCAAAGAGTACAACAAACCACCGTTTCTCAAACTATTTTGAATGCGACCTTTGGCACCTAACTCTTCGGACCTTAATCCCTTGGCTTATTATTTGTGCAGCGTAGTTGAGTGAGAGATCACTGAACACCCCATAACACCAAAGATACCTTTAAAACTGCTATAGTGAGTCAACGATTTAGATCTCGTATGAAGCAGTTATTGTTGATGCTGACGATGTTTTTTTTTGAATGATTTTACAACTAAATATAATATATAAAACCCTTAAAAATTTTCGGATATAAAGTTAACTTCTTTTGCAGTATTATTTATTTTTTGGGCGAGCATAAATATATCATTGGACTTGGCTGGAGGTACCAATAAACCTCATTTATGTGAATATCCAATAAATTAGGGAGTAAATAAGTAAAATAGGTAAAAGTAACATATAGCGGGGCATCTCTACCGGTGAGAATATGTGAATTAGTCAGGTTTGTGTGACCCAACCTAAGTCTGGTCACGGCCACCTGCTCTCTCCTCTCATGGGCCATCGGGCACTTCCATGACTCAACAGTCCTTTTGATCCGACACAACTTG